TGGTTTTTGGTTTTGTTTTCTTTTTTTTTTTTTTTTTCCCATAGGGTGCATGCACTCATGGAGAGAGACAGAAGGAAAGTGAGAAATCTCTCCCAGGGATGCCACACCACAAAACCCTTCTCCAATCTCCTGTCGGGATTTTGGGCACACACATACTTACACCCAGCATGATTTTCAAGCCAGTAGGTCCAGTTTTGAACCATAGTCAATCATATGATAATCCAGTGTCTTAAGCACTTAAGCACTGTCTTAAGCACCTGCAGTCCTGGAGCAAAATTTTGAAATCTATGCATAGTTTTTCTTTTTTGAATTTTTTTTTTTTGTACTTGGTTGCTTCTTACAAAGAGAGTGCTGGAGGAATGATGGAATGTCACTTGCAAGATTACCTTATGTGAAATTATGACCCTGTCTTGAGTGTGTGTGTGTGTGTGCACGCACGCATGCATGTGCTCTCACTCACTCATGCTTGTGCGCGCTCTCACCACACACACACACACACACACATACAAACACACACACATACACACACACACACACACACACACACACACCTCTCTAGGGAAGACAGTTGCCTTCTTGTGAGAGAGCATCATGAAGAATCTCACATCAGTGGGACCAGCAGTTAGCGTAATGGCTATGTCGCTGGACCCCCACATAGTCAACCGCGGTTGGAGTCCCGGACCCGGTGGCTTAAACTCACATTGGGTGTGTGTGTGTGTGCGTGCCCAAGATCCTGAGAGGAGAATGGAGGAGAAGGGATTGCGGCGTGGCCATCCTCCCTGGGGGATGATTTCTCACTCTCTGTGTCTCTGTCTTTCTCTGTCTGTCTGGCAAGCGCATGCTCCCTGTAGCAAAAACCTCTCCAAAAAAAAGAATCTCACATCAGTAAATTTGAAAGGGAACCTTCAGAGTGCTTCCAACAGTCATGTGGGTGAAATTGGAAATAATCATTCCTAGTTGAGTCTTAAAATAGAAGCAGCCTTGGTTGTCATGAGAGGTCCTAAGCCAGGGGGCACTGTTCCTGAATTCCTGACTTATAGCATTGTGATGGTATTTCTTGAGTAAAGTCCAAGTTACAGGATAACTTGTGTAGTAATAAATAACAGACATTACTTTTTTATTTATTTTTCTTTTATTCACTTATTATTTTTCAATTTGAGCAGAGAGAGAGAAAGCAAGCTGCCAGGTCCCGGACTTAAACCGTAGTCAGCCATGTGGGAGTCCAGTGTTCCAATCATCATGCCACCTGCTGGCCCCATAGTTTTTTTTTATGATATGCATTTTCTATGAGCTTTTTAAAGACTCTTTGTATTCTCTTCTGCCTTTGCTGTTTATCTTCTACATCTGTTTTCCTACCCCCCATATCACCACCTGCCTGTCTCTCTTTGGAACCCAGGGTGGCCCCTGGCCTGTTTGAATCATCTCATTGTCACTTGCTCCCCCTTTTTTTTTTCAAGTTTATTTATTACATGAATAAGGAGACAGACAGGCACCCCCAACTAGGTCTCAGAATTTGGGATACACACATGCACCCGGCATGGTTTTTAAGCCACTAGGTCTACCCCCAGCGCCATCCAGGTTCAGATCCTGGGCTCACCTGTGTTCAAGGAGATCTCCAGTTGTGAACTGGAACCTTCCCATGTGGCTCAGCCTGGCAGAGAGTTGTGTAGGTATTATGCCACCATCCAGCGCCCTCCCTCCCTTCCAACTTGCCTGAGTTCAGATTGTTAGAGACCACATACCTACCTCATCCCCTGTATCCACCCTCACAGCCATCAGTAGTGGAGTCCAGGTAGCAGGATGCAAGATTTGAGAACTGCCATTGCTCAATCTCTTCCTTTTAAAGAATTCTTTATTTAATTTGTTGTTGTTATTATTTAATTTGACCAGACAGAGAGAGAGAGAGCACAAGTGAGAGGGAAAGTGAGAAAGCAAGCTGCCAGGTCCGGGACTTGAACTGTGGTCAGTCATGTGAGAGTCCAGGACCTTAACTACCACTCCATCTGCCAGCCCCTCTCAATCTCTTCCAGTGTGTTTGAAACACTGATAAGGACTTTAGGTCTATTATTTAATAATCACCTACATCACACCCTTTTTCTTTTTTATTTTTTTTAGAGAGATTTTTGCTATAGGGCACATGCACTCGCCAGAGAGACAGAGAGAGACAGAAAGCAAGAAATCATCCCCCAGGGGGATGGCCACACCACAGTCCCTTCTCCATTCTCTCAGGATTTGGGGCATACATACACACACTCAGAGTGAGTTTTTTTTTTTTTAAAGAATTATTTTATTTATTTTAATTTGACCAAAGAGAGGATGAGAGAGAGAGAGAAGGCAAGTCACCAGGTCCAGGACTCAAACCACAGTTGGCCATATGGGAGTCCACCAGTAGGTCCAAGTTTGAACCATATTCAATCATGTGGAAATCCAATGTCTTAACCACCAAACCACCTGCAAGCCCCCACAGTGTGAGTTTTAACCAACTGGGTGTGGGACTCAAACTGTGGTTGACTACTTGGGACTCCAGCGACATAACCATTATGCCATCTGTTGGTCCCTCTTTTTCATTTTTTATTTTGCCATAGGACGCATATACTCTCCAAGGAGAGACAGATAGGGAAAGTGAGAAAGCACCTCCCCCAGGGGGATGGCCACTCTGCAATCCCATCTCCATTCTCCTCTAGGGATTTTGGCCACATACGCGCATGCACCTGGCATGTTTTGCTTTGCTTTTTCAGTTTTGCCATAGAGTGTATGCACTCTCCAGAGAGGGACATAGAGAGAAGGAAAGTGAGAAATTGCCTCTCAATGGGGATGGTCACACCACAGTCTCTTCTCCATTCTCCTCAGGATTTAGGGCATCATGCGTGTGTGCTTTCATGTTTTTCAAGCCACCAGGCCCAGGACTTGAATTGTAGAATCGGCGACGTGGAATCCAGCCACCTTTACCACAGGCTGGCCTGTCATTCTTTCATGTGAGAACAATGGCTTAGAGAGATTGAGATCTGGCCATATTTACACAGCTTAAAAAGAGTACTGGGACCAGCAGTTAGCATAATGGCTATGTCACTGGACTCCCACGTAGCCGACCGCAGTTCGAGTCCTGGACCCGGTGGCTTTAACTCGCGTCGGGCACGTGCGCGCGCGCGCCCAAGATCCTGAGAGGAGAATGGAGGAGAAGGGATTGTGGCGTGGCCATCCCCCCTGGCGTGTGATTTCTTGCTTTCTGTCTCTCTGTCTCTCTCTGTCTTTCTGGCAAGCACATGCACCCTGCAGCAAAAGCCTCTCCAAAAAAAAAAAAGAGTACAGAAATGGGGGCCAGCAGGTGGTTTGTAGTGATTAAGGCATTGGACTCCCACATGGCTGACCATGGTTTTAGTCCCACCCTGGAGGCTTGAAACTCAGGCTGGTGTTGTGTGTGTGTGTATGCCAAAAAATACTGAGGAGACTGGAAGAGAAAGGGTTGCAGCATGGCCATCCCCCTGGGGAAATTTCTCATGGTCTGTCTCTGCACACATGCTCTATAGCAAAAATCTTTCAAAAAAAAAAAATAGAAATGGTTAAGAACTAGAGAGAATTCTGATGAAAGGGCTTCAGATTCCCACAAACCCTGGAGTTGGTCACAAGCTTAGCCAAGTTTCCCCCACCTCACCCTGTAGCCTCCAAGACTCTAATATGCAAGACTCATGATGAGCCCCTCTCATGCTCAGAGAGGCACCCACCAGGATGTGGGTTCTCTGTACCACTTCTGTCTCCAATGAGACCGAAATCTGTCCCTATTTAAGATTCACATGCTGAATTTGAACCCAGTTCTCTTCAGAGACAAAATATTTAACCTTTATTTATTTTTTATTTATTTAGAGAGATTTTTGCTATAGGGAGCGTGCGCTCACCAGGAAGAGCAAGAGAAAGCGTGAAATCACCCCCCAGGGGGGATGGCCATGCTGCAATCCCTTCTCCTCCACTCTCCTCTCAGGATCTTGGGCACACATGCACACGCACCCGGCATGAGTTTAAGCCACTGGATCCGAGACCTGAACCCTGAATCGATTACATGGGAGTCCAGTGACGTAGCCATTACACCATCTGCTGGTTCCCACCTTATTTCTTTATTCAAGATAGAGTGTATGTGTGTCGGTGAGAGAGGAGCACCTTCCACAGGGTCTGGTCAAGCTGCAATCCTCTTCCTCCAGTTCCTCCAGTCTGTCAACCTTAGGCACTTGTGCAGTACCTGTGTGATTTCTTTGTTTCAGTTTGCCAGGGTGTGTCTAGTGGCCAGAAAGAGATAGAGACAAGAAGAGAGGGAGGGAACCAGCAGTTAGAGTAATGGCTATGTCGCTGGACTCCCATGTAGTCGACCGCGGTTTGCGTCCCGGACCCGGCGGCATAAAACTCACGCCAGGCGCGTGTGCGTGCTGGCCCAGGGTCCCGAGAGGAGAATGGAGGAGAAGGGATTGCGGCAGGACCATCCTCCCTGGGGGGTGATTTCTCGCTTTCTGTCTGTCTCTCTCTCTCTCTCTGTCTGTCTGGCGAGCGCACGCGCCCTATAGCGAAAACCTCTCAAAAAAAAAAAAAAAAAGAAGAAGAGACGGAGAAAGCACTGGCAATGGGGCGTCCTTCTCCCCAATTCCTTCTCCTCCATCTCTCTGTCCTGTCAGGATTTTGATCTCACACACACATATGCACATGTGTGCCTGGTGTATTTTTCAAGCCACTGGGTCTGGGACTTGAACCATGGCTGGCCATGTGTGTCCAGCTCCCTTAACCACTAGGCCATGGAGCTAGCCCACCTGGCATGTTTTAGGCTAACTAGGCCCTGGTACTCACACCAAGGTCACCAGGGAGATCCAGCTTCTCTTGAATAGTATGGTATTTCTGCACCACAGAGGGACCCCAGAGGCAAAATTGTAAGCCACTAATTGTACGCATTGCCGAAGAACCAAAAACCCTACATCCTTCTACATTAAATTGGTCTAGATTTCGCTTTGAGAAAACTCTTCTTCCCCACTTCTAGGTGGCAGGACAAGCCAGGCTAGCACCTTCCACTATGTGCACCAACACTGTTCTAGGCACACACCCATCAAAGATGCAATCCCTGCCTCAATGGAGTTTCACACCTGTTGGACAGATGTGTCACTTTAGGTACCAAGAAAGCCAACCAATCCCTATATGGTAGGGATTCCAGATGGCCTCCAAAAGGCAACTGTGTCTCATTGGCTCTCAGCCGGCTACTTTCACATTAGCATCTTTCAGGTTCTAACCTGCTCCTCTCAGGCCTCCTTTGGGATCTTGTCCTATCAGTTTTTCTTTTTTCAATCTCTTCTCTGCCAGGTGGCTTCGGGTTTTTGTCCGCTGCTCTCTAATGCCCTCTCTTCATGCGAAGTTCTATAAATGACATTACTTTTTTTTTTGGAGAGGTTTTTGCTATAGGGTGCATGTGCTCGCCAGACAGACAGAGAGAGACAGAGAGATAGAAAGTGAGAAATCACCCCCCAGGGGGGATGGCAATGCTGCAATCCCTTCTCCTCCATTCTCCTCTCGGGATCTTGGGCACGTACGCACATGCGCCCGGCATGAGTTTTAAGCCACCAGGTCCGGGATGCGAACCGTGGTTGACTACATGGGAGTCCAGCGACACAGCCATTACGCTAACTGCTGGTTCCCAATGACATTACTTTTCAGGCCTCCAATAGAATGCTGTGCTAGTGACTGATCTATTATTATTATTACTATTATTATTATAGTTTTAAAAAGAATTATTTAATTTTATTTTTTATTTTTTAATTTGACCAGAGAGAGACAGAAAGAAAGGAAAACAGAAAGCAAGCTGCCAGGTCTGGGACTTGAACCACAGTTGGCAGTCCAGCACCCATAACCACCATACCACCTGCTGACTCTAACAGTTTTGTTTTTAAAATTTTATTTCTTCTGTGAGCAAGAGGAGAGAGGCAGCCCCAACACACTCACTCAACACCATGATCCATCCAGCTTCAGCCAGCTGTGGATCATGGACACACACGCATGTTTAGGAAGGTCTCTGGACATGAACCCAGAGTCTGCCCACATGGGCCAGCCTTGCAGAGCATTGAATTACAGTAGTCCCAAGTTTATTTTTCTCTTTTGTAAGAGAGAGACAGGTGTCCTTGACCAGCTAATACCACATCACAGTCTCCTCCCCAGCCTTCTAACCTGATAGGATCGTGTGTTAAGCTTGGCCTGGGAGCCAAACCCAGGGACTACCATATGGATTCAGCATTGCACAACATCCTACTGCCTACACCACTGCAGTTGGGTCAGTGACTGACTTTTTATACTGGGCACTGCCCTCCGTGACCCCAACTCATTCTATTACTTCCTGATATTGGGGTCAAACATCAGGTTTCTTTCATCAGGCAGCATTGTCTGTTGTTCTTACACAGGGCCGATATCACACATTTCCATTCCCTGCCATCTCCTTTCAAGTCTTCCCCACTCTCTGTAATCCAACCATACCAGATGGTGTTGGAATTTCCTTTCCAGCAGCAATGAGAAGAAGATGAGGTCTGTCCTTTAGAATTCCCAGCCAGACTGAGGACTGTATTGAGCCTATATCTGTATTTCCTCAAAGCATATTAGTTCTTGGGGGGGAGGTTTTATGGTATTGAAAATGTGATTCATGTCCAGTCTGTTCTTTTCTCTCACACAAGGATCCTTCTCTAATACGATGAGTCCCAAAGGCTAGAAACAAAGACCTGTGAGGAATCACTCCGACTGGAGTGCACTGCAGGGTGGGAAGCATCATTCATTCAATAACCTCATGCCATCACTTTCTAGGTCAGGGATGCTATAGACTGAATAAACAAACAAGGTCACTGTTAAGCTGGACCTTGAAAACTGAAGAAATTGACTTCTACGGTGGAAAAAAAGCACTCAGTTCTGACTGCCTCCATGCCACCGCCACACACTCCAGCTCTTCTTTTTTTTTTTTTTTTGTAAGAGTTTTATTTTTATTTTATTTTTTTAGAGGTTTTTTTTACTATAGAGCGTGTATGCTCACCAGACAGACTGAGACAGACAGCGAGAAATCACCCCCCAGGGGAGATGGCCACGCTGCAATCCTTTCTCCTCCATTCTTCTCTCGGGATCTTGGGCACGCACGCACACGCGCCCGGTGTGAGTTTTAAGCCACCGGGTCCAGGACGCGAACCGTGGTCCACTACGTGGGAGTCCAGCGACATCGCCATTACGCTAACTGCTGGCCCCAACACACCAGCTCTTCTTGACTAGGAGAAGAGCCAGGAGCCCTCCTGCCCCATTTGTTCATTAGGCCTGGGACTGAGGGGAACATTAAGGGACTGAGCAAAGGTCTGGGGCTGGAGCTTCTGAAAGTGAATGGGAAAAATAAGTAATAATGAAAAATATATAAAAAGAAAGTGAGGGTTATTGATGGGGCCCTGAGAATAAGCAGAGAACTCTGAGATGTGTGTGTGTGGGGGGGTCTCTGAGGAGGAATGAGGGCTTTGAGGAGGGAGGCTCTGAAGACCTGGAGGGTGCTCTAAGGAGGAGCAGGGGGCTCTGGGGAATTGTGAGGGACTCAGGAAGAGCAAAAAAAAAATAAAATGTGAGGTGCTCTGGGACCAGCAGGTGGCATAGTGGTGGACACTTCCACATGGCCGACCACAGTTCAAGCCCCAGACCAGGCGGCTTGCTTTCTGACTTTCTCTGTGTGTCTCATTCTGGTCAAATTAAAATATATATATATAAATGAATAAATAAAATTAAATAGTTCTTTAAAAAAAATCTTTATAAAAAGAAAAAAGAAATGTGGGGAGCCCTAGGAGCAGGAGGCCCTGAAGGGAAGTGGGAGCTCTCTGAGGAGATACTGGGGGAGGGAGGAGTTGAGGACTGGGGAGTCTGAAATGTGGGAGGCGGTGAGAAGCGGGAAACCCTGAGGAGGAGCTGAGAGGGGAGGCTCTGAAGAGGTGCGAGAGGCGCTGAAGGACGCGTGTGCGGCGGAGGAGAGATGGGGGTGGCGGTCCTCTGTCTCGGCGGAAACCGGCTCGGCTTTCTCTGAGGCGCAAGCAGGGCGGAGGTGAGAAGCGCGGTTACCTTGGCGACCCCCAACCGAGTCCTGGGCGGTTGAGGAGCCTGTTCGGGGCGTGTCCTAGGAGCTGTGCGCGGCGCCGGTTGGCTGAGAAGAGCGGAGGGGGTGTGTCTATGGGCGGAGCCCGGCAGCCTGGGAGATGGCGATTGGCCAGCAGAGAGGGTGGGGGCGTGGCCCAGGCGCGTGAGCGAGCGCGCGCGCGACGCGCCGCCCGCCGCCCGGGTCCCCACTGAGCCCCGACACGAGCGACGTCCTGCAGCAGATCATGGCCATCACCGACCAGAGCCTGGACGAGGCGCAGGCCAGGTGCTGCCCGCGGACCGAACGGAGGCAGGGGCCCCCCAGAGTCGTGGCAGTGAGGGGGGCGCGGGGACCGACCTTTGGGCCTGGAGGGGCGCAGGCACATGTGGGGGGCCTGAGGCCTGGGATGGGGGGATCCGAACACACAGGAAACGTGTGGCGCTGAGAGGAACGGGTGGGACAGGCCTTACAGGCTAAGCAGTGAGCTAAGGGTTCAGGAGCTGGTTTGGGGACGAGGGAGTTGGTTTTATGGTGAAAGGTTTAAAGGTTTTATTTTTTTTTCTTTATTTTAAATTTATTTATTTTTTAAAAATGTTTTATACATTTAATCACATTATTTAGCTTACAAAGTGAACATTTCTCTTTTTTTTTTTAAGAACTATTTTATTCATTTTCATTATTTTACTTATTTGTTTTATTGAAGTTGACCAGAGAGAGACAGAGGGAAGGAAAGTGAAAAAGCAAACTGCCAGGTCCGGGACTTGAACCATAGTCAGCTGTGTGGGAGTCGAGCCACCCTAACCGTCATGCCACCTGCTGCCCCCACAAAGTGAACATTTCAGTATGTGAACAGTTCTCCCCAGTCCAGTTGATCAAAATATCTTCAACTGATAACACCACACCTCTCCATCCCGTCAATGTTCTGCCTCCGTATCCCTCCTCCAAATGTCTTTCTTTAGGTCCCACTCCTCCACACACACCACATCTGGCATTCACACCCAGACCTTGTGTTCATTTAGTCAATCAGTTTCAGTCATAGAGTGCAGACACTGGGTATATATTAAGTGGGGACATACAATGTCTCTCCTTCGTACCCTAAAGGTTTATTTTTTTTAAAAAGAATGATTATACTTAACTTCATTTATTTTATCCATTTATTTTTAAATTTGACCAGTGAGAGAGAGGGAAAGTGAGAAGACAAGCCACCAGATCCAGGACTTGAACCACGGTCGGCCATGTGGAATTCCAGCCCTCTTAACCACCATGCCACCTGCTGGCCCTTAACTGGGGTTTGTCAGGGGCGATACATGCGGGAGGGGACTTTCGAAGGGGAACTGCTCAATGAACGGATTAGTGACTTAGGAGGGTGAGAAGTTTTCGGGGTGGATAATGGAGAGTGAGTGTGTGATAGGAACTAAGACTCAGGACTGTCTGTGTAGGAGACGGAAGAGTTGAACTGGGGTGACTAAATGTGTGAACCATCAGCAACTTTCTGAAAAGGCCTAGTCGTGGGGCTGGGTAAAGATGGAGGACTCATTTCTTTTCTTCCTCTTTAATGAATTAGCAAATACATATCTATTTACTTAGAGTCTTTTCCAAAGTCATAGAACCCTAGAGCCTTATTAGCTGTATTTCTTCCTTGAGAGACACAGGCTCCCTCAATAGGTACTTATGCTGCCGTTCACAGCCATGCCCAAGGAGGTCCCAGGACTGCATGTGAGACCACGCTGGTCTAGCTGTGACACAGCTGCATCACCTCCTGGCACCAGTAAATATTTATTGAATGCATACTTTGTGCTTAGCACTGAATTGAGTGCTGACATAGTTAGTCCCTGTTTTCAAGCTAATGGTTTAGGGTTGAGAAAGTAAGGATTTTAAAAATAAAAAATTAAGTATAGGGTCAGTCCTATAGCACAGTGGTTAAGCAGTATGCATTGGGAACCAGATCCCACATGCCTGTCCATGGTTGATCCTGATAAGCCCAAAGTAAGTTGAAAATATTGTAAGATGAAATATATTCAGTATAAGCCGGCCCCATAGCCTAGTGGTTGTGGGAACTGGATTCCACATGGCTGACTGCAGTTCAGATCTCAGCCTTGGCAGCTTGAAAAACACAGTAGGTGTGTGTGCATGCATGCATATCCAGAATCTTGACAGGATGAAGAAATGGAGAAGTAATTGCCGGGTGACCATGTCCCACTAGGGAGTGCTTTCTCCTCTCTCTCTTTCTTTCTGTGTAAGTATACATGCCCTATGCCAATGAAAAAAGATGCATTTGAAGCTGGCAGGTGCCATGGTGGTTAAGGCCTCTGGACTTCCACATGGCTAACCTTGGTTCAAGTCCTGGACCTAGCGGCTTGCTTTCTTACTTTCTCTCCTTCTGTCTCTCTCTCGCTCTGGTCAAATTGAAAAATAAATAAGCTGTGGGGCCAGCATTTGGTGTAATGGCTATGTTGCTGGACTCCCATGTAGTCGACCACGATTTGAGTCCCAGACTTGGTGGCTTAAACCCACATCAGGCATGTGTGTATGCGTGCCCAAGATCCCAAGAGGAGAATGGAGGAGAAGGGATCGCAGTATGGCCATCCCCCTGGGGGGTGATTTCTCACTTTCTATCTCTCTGTCTTCTCTTTGTCTTTCTGGTAAGCACACGCGCTCTATAGCAAAAACCTCTCAATAAATAAATAAATAGACAGATAGATAGATAGATAGCCTTTTGTCCAGAACCGCTTTCTTCAAGTAATTAACCAAAATGACAAACAAGGGGAAAGAGGAATGGCACCCGATATATGTTCTCTAGGCCTTTTAGAAAACAAGGAGTGGGGCCAGCTGTTGGCGTAATGGCTATGTCGCTGAACTCCCATGTAGTCGACTGTGGTTTGAATCCTGGAACCACTGGCTTAAACTCACGCTGGGCACATGTACATGCATGCCCAGGATCCTAAGAGAAGAATGGAGGAGAAGGGATTTCGGTGTGGTCATCCCCCCTGGGGGGGTGATTCTTCACTTTCTGTCTCTCTGTCTTTCTGGCAAACGCACATGCCCTATACCAAAAACCTCTCAAAAAAAAAAAGAAAGAAAGAAAGAAAGAAAACATGGAGTGGTTCCTTTGGCAACATATATGCAAATCTACAAAAAAGGTGAAGTTGTAGACATTAAGAGAATGAGTACTGTTCAAAAAGGAATGCCCCACAAATGTTACCATGGCAAAACTGGAAGAGTCTACAATGTTACCCAGCATGCTGTTGGCATTGTTGTAAACAAATAAGGGCAAGATTCTTGCCAAGAGAATGAATGTGCCTATTGAGCATATTAAGCATTCTAAGAGCAGAGAGAGATTCTTAAAACGAGTGAAGGAAAATGACCAGAAAAAGAAGGAAGCCAAAGAGAAAGGTACCTGGTTTCAACTGAAGCGCCAGCCTGCTCCACCCAGAGAAGCACACTTTGTGAGAACCAATGGAAAGGAGTCTGAATGACTGGAACCTATTCCCTCTGAATTAATGGCATGATGGGTGTTAAAAATAAACTAATCTATGATCTATTAAAAAATAAATTAAATAGGGGCTGGCAAGTGGCCTCATGGTTAAAGGTGCTGGACTCCCACATGGCAACCACGGTTCAAGTCTCAGACCTGGTGGCTTCTTTCTCACTTCCCCTCTCTCTCTGTCTCTCTCTGATCAAACTGAAAAATAATAATGATAATAATAATAAATAAAGTTAAATAAAATAATTCAAAAAAATAAATGAGATAAAGGGGGACCAGCAGCAGGTGGCGTGATGGTTAAGGTGCTGGACACCCCCACATGGCTGACCACAGTTCAAGTCCTGGACCTGGTCGCTTGCTTTCCCACTTTCTCTCCCTCTCTCTGTGTCGCTCTCTGGTAAAATTAAAATAAATGAATGAATAAATAAAATTAAATAATTAAAAAATAAATAAGATAAAGTTAAATTATTCTTTTAAAAAGTTTTTTAAAATATATTTAATAGGGAACCAGCAGTTAGCATAATGGCTATGTCGCTGGACTCCCACGTAGTTGACCGCAGTTCGTGTCCCGGACCCGATGGCTTAAAACTCACGCTGGGCACATGTGCGTGCATGCCCAAGATCCCGAGAGGAGAATGGACGAGAAGGGATTGTGGTGTGACCATCCCCCCTGGGGGGTGATTTCTCGCTTTCTGTCTCTATGTCTCTCTCTGTCTGTCTGGCGAGCACACACGCCCTATAGCAAAAACCTCTCAAAAAAAAAAAGAGAGAAATACATTTAATATACTTAGCCTACCAACATCATTGCTTAGCCTCACTTACCCTAGAAGTGCTCAGAATGCTTGCATTAGCTTATAGTTGGGTAAAATCATCTAACATAATGCCTATTTTATAATAATGTCTTGACAATCTCATGTAATTTATTAAATCCTGGGAAAACACCCAGAGAAGATGAAAATTCAAAGTGCAGTTCTACTGAATTGGATCACTTTTGCATCATTGTAAAGTCAAACAGTCATTAACTATAAGTTGTGGACTGTCTAATTGTCATAATAGTAATGTGTCACATTGGGATCATTCGTAGTACAGAAGAGCCAGGCCAGGAGAGGGTGCCTTTCTGTGATGACCTGTCTGTATGGCATATCTGAGAACAGGGGCTTTGTTGTATTCTCAGAACTGTGCACAATGCCTGGCACCTAGCATTCAATACAGTTTCATGACACTGAGAAAATTCTATTGGGACTAGCAGGGGACGATGGGTTCCTCACATCCAGTCAACACAGGCAGTACTTTAGGTGTATCGTGAGAGCTGCTTAAAGGAGGAGCTCTGCTCAGGTGTGACCTTCCTTGGGCATGTATGGACCCAGCACAGCCGAAGGCTGCTGCATTTTCTTTTCAGCAACATCTTGAGAATCTGATTTCCCTTTGATAGACTTGAGAATGGAATGTAAGTCGGTCACTTCTGTACTATTTTCGAAGACAGCTGTTTTTGTTTTAAGGGTAGGAAATTAAGTATCACGCTTAATAACATAGATGTTAAGGACCTGGTTCCTGTTTTCTGACGTGGGAAGACCCCTGGAATTTCTTTTCTTTTCTTTTTAAGATTTATTATTTATTTAATTCCATTTGTTGTTATTATTTTTTAATTTGGCCAGACCAGACAGGGAGAGAGAGGAAAAGCAAGCCTCCAGGTCTGAGACTCGAACCACCATTGACCATGTGGGAATCCAGTACTACGTCACCTGCTGACCCTTGGAATTTCTCCCCCCCCCACCTTTATTCATGATAGAGTGCATGTACA